GGACAAAAACAAAGAGCAAACAAAATTTGTGGCTATGGAGACAAGCTGCTACCAATTTTTTCACCAAAATTTTGACTTGGTAATTTCTATTAAAAAAAAAACAGACTTTACACGGTAATTCAAAAATGTCGGACCATCCCTTGCGTGGTGATAAAGGACATCCAAATGAGTTAAAAGTCCCCATGACAATAAACAGTTTGAGCCTTTCTTCACGAGATATAGCTCTCCAAACATTAGATTTATTAGATTTTGGATTAAGTTCTTGGCTGTTCCAATTATGTAATCTTGAATTTAATTAGCGGAAACGATACATCTTGTAAGATCTGTTGAAAAAAATCACTAATTTGTGTCTTATGGTATAAAAAACTACTTCAAAACAAAAAAGAAACTTCAAAAAAAAAGGTTGAAACAAAAATCTGAATTATTTGTATGCTTTGCTGGCTAAGAGTCTTCTATCACCACCACTCAAGAGTTGGTCCAAGATTTTTGAATCACCTTGATTCTCCTCTTTTGCTACCTTGTTTTCTAATTTCTGAATTTAACTCTTTCAACTTTTTCTTTGGTTCTCCAATATTGCACTTCTGGAGGAAAAGTAGGTATCTACATCCTATTTGATTTCACAAATTCAAATAATTATGCAATCTTTAGTTTCCAAAAATCTTATTTAATATTATTTTTGGAAGATGCGGCTGAATATCGCCGTTTTAGGCCAAAAAAAACTTAAAATCCGGCACCAAATTAGTGAATTTCAGTTATACATTGACTAAAAAAGTCTTGTGGGTGAGTCCGAAACGTGACCAATTTTTATTTGCGACATGCTGTATACTACATGTTTTGTTTTTACGACATTCTTGTCTCCAATTATTTCATTTAAATTGTGTCGATTGACCCTGAAATATTGCACACCGGTTGAGTTATAGCAGGCTCGTGTCGTTTTTTTATAATTTTTTGGTGCCAACAAAATAAAATCGTTAAATTCCCTTTCTGGACGTTTTGTTCGTTGAAAAATTTGTTATTGGTGTTATTTGGGTCACACAGGAAGGAAAAAATCATAAAATTACGGCAAACAATATGTTAGTGTAGGTTTATCGTTTAGTTACGTGTTTCATTATGTGATAGGTACACAATGTAATCTGTAGAGGGTCTAATCTCGCGTAGGCGCCACTAATTTTCGCTTATTAGTTTTTTTCGCAAACAAGTCATTAGCCAGATGCTTCGATCTGTATCGTAAATTCGAAAAAATATTATGCAAATTAGTCATTGTTTGAAAATTTCTTATGGTACAAGAACTTCCTACCATGAAGAGAGCACTCACCTATGACTCCAATTTCCGACGTGACTTTTTTAAATAACAATAGTGTATTATATTTTGATTTCACCCACACTTGGGGGAGTCATCTGGTTGTTTTTCCGAAAAAGTTCTTGTTATGTCTCGAGTCTAGACAGCAGCTTGTTGCGTCAGAGGACGAAAAGTATAAACGGCACCATAAAGGGATGCATAAATATGCATAAGATAAAAACTATACGACCTACACCGAGTGTGGGAACAGACACGGCGCAGATTCGAAAAATCGGTTCGAGCGAACCTCGCCTTTATCCCACAATTAGTGGCCATTGTGGGAGATGAGATATCCTGAAAAGGCGATTTCCGCCACTATTTATGATTCTATACGGCTCTACTTCCTCGTCAATCGAACACAACATGGCGCGAAGGCGCCATATTTGTTTTACGACTTTTTTATCGACTATTGCCAATTAAAACTTGCCACAAATATTTTCCTATGTACACAATCCTAATATTGCATTCGAAACATTTTTAAACAAATGAATGCGTCATTAAAGGAAAACACGAATCGCATTATCAATTGGAACATTTTCATGCTAATGAATAATAATGGAGCGTATTTCCACATACAATGTGTTCGTTATAATCATGTGAGCAAACAAGAATCGACGATTGTTCAAAAAATACTTGTTTCTCAATAGCAGACACGAATATTTTTCCATAACTTAAACAAACAATTCAATTTACGGGTTTATGACAAATGCCATAAATCGCTTCAAACCAACTGGCTGGCCAACCAAATCTGACGAAAAATCGCCAACAACAGGAAAATTTCCTGCAAAATTCAGAGAAAGGTATTTAGTTATGGAAAAGCTACTTTGGGTGTCCTATCATTGCGCTTGAGTGGTTTTAGAACAGCCTGCAATTAATTTTCCTTATTGTAATGTGGGTTTTATCGTCGAATTTACCGCTGGTAAAAAACCCAGCCATTGTTTTATCTTTCTGTAAAGTACAGTCACTCAAAAACAATGCCAGTTACCACATTATCACAGAATAAATATTTTCTCTCTGGGGGTGATTACAGGGTGACTCAAGTGATAAGGCCAGGCTGAATTTTTGGCCGGATTAACTCGAGCGCGAATGAACAGGTTTTCAAGGTACGAAATGGGTGAAAGGTTAAATTTCGGGGCCCATTCAGGGTCTATTTCTTGTTCCATTCGCTGACTGCTACAAGGCTAGATGAGGCTCAAATTGCGTCATTTCTGCCGAAAATAAATAACATTCCAAGTGTAAACTAAACACTAAAAGAACAACATCCATACTCAGCTCTTCAAGTTCAGTAACTTTTCACATGAATCACAGTTTGCAAAATTGCAGTGTTGAATGTTAAGTCTCGTTATCTTTTTTTGGGCTGAAATTCCTCGCGTGTACTGCACATATTATGTGTAATAGTCATCGATGATGACCTCAAGGACAAGGTCGCCCCATCCGGTTCTATCCTTCGATGCTAATCTCTCGAATATTTCCCGAGTAACTTCTTCGAGACGGCAAGGAAAAATTCTTACCATACCGTCACTCATCGACAAGGTAACAGCTGCAGAAGCAGACTGATCATGCAGCTGTCGGTGCTAGTACCTTTTATGAGTAAATGTACTGCAATGTTTTCCATATTGGGATCTAATAAAGGCGATTCAGTGGCCATATGACGCTATTTTTGGTCAAGAAATGAGGAATAATGAAAGATTAAAGACAAGCTGGCACTGGAAACAAACAAGGGATGTGGACCAACCCCGTTTCCGGTGGTTGGGGAACGGGACTTCCTGTTGCCAAGAAGGGAACAAGATTCCAAAGAAGTGGAAATAATGAACGAATGTCGACGATCTATGCCCCAGATCCCGAATTTATTTATGTCACGTTGGCAAAAACTTTTTTAACCAACGTTCAAAACTAAAAATGTACGACCCCTAACTATGGGTCGAAGTTCATGTTTTCCCTTTATATATTAAGTCTAGGTGGCTAAATATTGTATAGTTTGACGAAGAATTCTTTATTACATTTATGATTTAATTTTTTTTAAATTTAATTGCTATTGGAAAAATTGGACGTAGTACACGTTAGATTATTTAATTGTCGTAATTAGAACATGGAGTAAGATTATCAGAAAATTAAAATCGAGACCAAGTCAAAACAACAACACATTCCAGGAATAATAAAAGCATTTCTGTATTTACTTTAACTTATCCATTGTTCAGAATCCTTTATTTAAAACCAGACCGGTACTATGCAACACAGAACAGCTGAAATATAATTACACTGTTCGTGTGTTCTGACCATTGAACAAGCATTTTTGCAGTTCTAAGTTCAACTAGAATTTTTTCCAAGTGATCAAAGTCAAATGAGTCGATGATGAATTTGTTTAAGGTAAAAAACCGATAAAATATGCATCAGTTTTGTTGTTGTTATTGTTTGTTTCAATTTTTTATTATTATGACTTAAGAATGTTTACGTGTCATGTAGACAGCCGTGTTAAATACTTGTTTTTGTCAGAAATGTAATTAATGCTACGCAACTGTGACAATTTTTTGAAAAATTCCAGGCCGCCTGTGATTACAAAGGCTTATCGGACTTTGTATAAGATAATTTCTATTATTTCAATTCTCAGAAGCGGAGTATCAGATATCGGACGTCAGAAAAATAGAAAATTCGTTTGAATTTCCCGCAAGTCGTCTGTAATCGATTTTCCTTGTACGGCATTGGAAAGCATTCCGGTTACACGCGAATGCACTTTTAACCTATGACGCATATTTGCAAATCACTAATTTTCATTCATGAGGAAATCTCATGGTCGATAATTGTTATTATTGCGTATATTTTTAGATCAAGCGAGCCGCGACTAATCCCGTCGTTTGTAACGGAAACAAAAGTCAATCGGTTTACGAAACTATTGACAACAACGTAAATATTTCGTGTTTTTTTTGTAATGGATTTGAATTATCCAATTACAAAGTTACTACGAAATCGGCTCGCTTTGTAAAATTCAACTATCTCACGGTCTGACGTGGCAACAAGGGCGCCTAGTTCGGTGATATTCGTGTTGTTGCGTTGGCAATCGCCAGTTTCGAGTTGGTCGTTGGTGGAAGTTTACGCTTGAGCGTATGCAGTCTTGCAGTTTTAGTAGTCGAGTTGTGAGTTGGTTGTAAAAGGGAAGTTTTTTTAAAAACAAAATTAATAAACGCAAAGTTGAAACAAGCTCCAGCTTGGGAGGACCTTCTACTAAGGTTAGTTTTAGTTATTTTTTTCGGTTAATGGTAGCACCCTTCGATGTAAATAGAAAGTGGCCATATGTCGTCCTTGTGTCCTAATTAAAACAATCGCACGTAAGTCGTATTTCTCGTCGAAAAAGTCCCTAGAATCGCAATTTTTGCCCATTTGCTAATCTCGCACCGGGTCGATATGGGCAAACCCTTCTCGATGGAGCCGTCTGGGAATGTCTGTACCATCTAGTCGTCTCTCTCGCTCTCGGTGTGAACTTTTTTTTCGTCTTTCCGGTGCTCGCAGCCGACCATTGATGTGATCTCTCTGGAATGTGGTAGGGCTGGGTGCTTGTAGCGGTCGGGGAGCGGTAAGAATGGAATGCTGGAAATCGTGAATGGTTTCTGAATTCCAGCAATGTTGCCGACACTGGAGTCCCTTCAGTGCGACTGTACTCAGACGGCCGTACGATTACTCGGACACTATCTGTCCTTCTCGGCACCGCAGGAACGCCCCACTAATAACATACCAAGAAATTCTCAAGACGAACACGACCATAAAAGGCGCAAGCCGCCGACAATCGCCAAATTTTAATCGACCAAATGGCAACGCCGCAATCGATTTTTTTGCGATCCACAACCATTTCCAGAATCTGCCAAACCATATTTTTGCATATTCCCCTTACTAAACTCACCTTTATGCAACTGTACTTTCTACTTTCTATGTGCCACATTCACTTGTTTTGCTCTTTGAAATGAACGCTTCAGTCTGTAGAGTTCATTTGTTTTTTTTTTCGTTATATAGACTGTCAAACATCTGAAAGCAGTTTATCTCTTTTTTTTTTTTCAATTAAAAAAAAATGTTATTAATATATAATAATAATTATTCAAAAGAAATATTGTCAACTGACCAATAAAAACCATAGTTTTAGGTATTTAGTATTCCAAATTTCTTAATGAGAATTAAAGCGAAATAATACCGAAACTCTTCAAGATGGCGTGGGATAATAACTGTTTAAACAACCAGTTAGGAAATGTCAATTTTATGTAACGAGTTACATAAAACGGTATTTCCTGTTGACTGGATGTAAAGGATATACATATTTAATTGTAATTATTCTGCTACAGTCTCATTTGTCAGGGTTGAAAAATCTAAACTGTTTGAGAGTTGATTTCTAAGGTTTTTACTTTAAGAGTGTTCAAAATTGGCAATCGGAATTTATTTCAGTTTTACAGTTCCAAAAAAATTCAATATTGCCAACTCAAACAGTTATTGTTTATCACCGAATATAATCTAGGTTTAATGCTTTTAAAAAATATTCGAAAGCATAGGTTTCATAATCAATTTAGCAGCTTGAATTTGTTAACTGTAAATATTTATGATTGTAATTGCTATCTGTAATTTAGCTAAATAATTTTGTCTTGTTTCAGAAAACAATGGTGGACACACTTTCCAGCAACTCCGACATTTTACGTTCAATGAGAAAAGACAGCAGTCACATAATAAATTATCATGAGCCCTACAAACCACATCCCCCTGAAACAAAATCAAGTATCACCGAACCGGACAACGGTCACAAAAGCGAAACTCTGAGCTCCAGATTAGATTTTAGTAAAGAAGCCGACCGTTTAAGCACTTTTATAGACTGGAAAAGTGATGCCGTAACTCCCGAAGCCTTGGCGAAAGCTGGCTTCTACTTCCTAAACAACCCCTCAAAGCCCGATCTTGTGAAGTGTGCCTTTTGTAAAGCGGAAATCTGCAGTTGGGAGCAAGGCGACAACGCTTTATCCGAACACATGAAATGGTCGCCTAACTGTCCTTTCGCCAAAGAGAAAAGCCAGAATTTGCGTGTCCCGGCACAGGGACAGGACGTCTGTGGGAATGTGGAGATTTTCCCGAATTCGGTTCCAGAGAGTGAGACTTTCCGGATGCTCCGAACGATGATTAGACCATATGAAGACAAAAAAGCGCGCTTAGAGTCTTTTGCGACTTGGCCGAGCTCGTCGAAGCAAAATCCAGAGACGTTAGCTGATGCTGGGTTTTATTACCGGGGGGTGGAGGACCACACGATATGCTTTACTTGTGGAGGGGCTCTTCAGGCTTGGAAGGAGGAAGACGATCCGTGGGAAGAGCACGCGAAGTGGTACCCGAGATGTCCGTTTTTGGTTGCATCCAAGGGACAGGAATACATCAAGCAAGTGCAGATCAAAAAACCCGGTGCGTCGTCAAGTAATGTAACCAAAGAGAATGAAAAAAGTACTGAGAAAATGAGTGAGTGTGGTGCAGCGTCTGAAGATGGAGTGATTTTATGCAAAATTTGCGACAGATTTGAAAGAAATACCGTTTTTTTGCCGTGTAAACATATTGTTGCGTGTACACAATGTTCGGATGTTATGCAAAATTGTCCTATTTGCAGAAGAAACATTGAAAACAAGATTAAAGTGTATATATCATAAAAACTAAATTGTAATATAATTCACTTTTTTTCTTTTCTTGAACACTTCTAGTCAATTTTTTCATCGGTTTTCTTCAATAAAACTAATTAGAAAAACAGACTCTATTTTTATATAACACCCTTCTTTCAGTACAAAACTATCAATACCTTAGGGTTGATTGTTATCTAACTGTATATAAGTATAACTTAATTTTCAATAATACGCTTGAAATAGGTTTAGTTTGTATTTTATTTGATCTAGCAAGTTCCTCGCTGCAATAGCTGAAGTAACAATAACGTTTTACAATGACATTACTTCACTGTTTTTGTATTACAAAAATAGAATAAACAATTTTAAATTCACAGCGTTTTTATTATACCTACCCTATGTTCAAAAAATGAGTACCTAACTCTTCCACGAAACAGAAGTGGAAAATATAAAAAAATCATTGCGAAATTGACATGAATGGAACTCGTGGTTCCTAAAAAAGATAAAACTAGTTCGAGAATTGTACACTGGCACCCTTTTTTTTAAGCAAGCTATGGTAAAAAAGCTATGGTGCGAATTATCAAATCAAATCTTGTTTACATTCTCTTGTTTTTAATAACAATCCACCGATATTTTTTATTGTTTCCTTTATTATTTCATGCAAATGGCATTTTCCCATAGCTAATTTTCTTCAGCAGGCAGACCTCGCATTTCATTAAGTGTTGCTCCCTTCACATGATCGTAAAGGTCGTTCATTTCCGTTCCACATACATACATACATTCATTCAATTTATTTAATCCCGATTTTCTCACACTTGCAGTTAATCTAATCGTTAATTTTTAATTGTTCCAGAAATTTATGACACACTTTCGAATCACAAAGTGACGAAGCAACTAAATCATTACAATGGACTAATTAAATTAAAAATAAAATCGGTCATAAACCAATTTTATTGAAACAGTCAAGAAAGGACAAAGGTTCACCATCGCTCATTCTAACTCTTCGGGGTCAAGATGTTTGCGGCTTTACTGACCTCTTACCTGGAATAATTTGTAACAACTGTGACTTCAAATTCAAAACTCGACTAGATTATAATAATGAATCGGTATTTTAATAACAATAACTGATAATGCAGCTTATCTTAGCTAAGAAATACGGATATTTTATCATGTAATGTAACAACAGGAAGGAAGTCGGATCTTGACCCTATTTGTTTCAAATGAACAAAAAGCCCATGTATCGGATACGAATCGTAAAATATTTTTTCTAGCCAATTATTTCTTATCACATGTATGATGTAATTTTTTTAATAAAACAGATGCATATTGAGTGTTTTGTTTTATATAAAAGTTCGAAATGAGATTTTACTGGATTTTATTAAACCACATTACGTGATAGAGACTTTGTGTTTTTCAGATAAGACAAAACATAAATATGTGGTATAAATAAACACTAGATTTGAATAGTGTTGACTTTGTAGAGATTATTCCAATTCAAATATAGAATAGACGGCAAAAACCCACTTTCCAAATTTGTTTTATTTTCGGTGTAATTTTCAAAATTCGTTAATATAGATAACTCGGTTTACAAAAGCGTATTATGGGTTGCAGACTTTCGCGGATTGAAAACGTATTATAAATTAATTATTTTAAGAATTAAGTTCGAATCCCAATGGTGACCACTTTTTTTCACTTATATTACGATTTTATACTTTAGAAAATATTTAACAAACATTACTACAACTAGAAGTATTCTTTTAACCACTATAACGAATCGTTTCCCACACATTTACCATCAAAGAGAAAAAGCCATGACCTCAGGATCTCAGGTCACTCACTCGTATAGGTGTATTTGAGGTTAAGTAAGAACAAAAATGTTGAAAATAAAGACTCTTCTGGATGTTCCAACTTAGTACCACATCAGAAGAAACAAAAAGTACACAATGGATGTGGAAGAACAAAGACGTTTATTAATAAACCAAAATAATTCTCATGAAAACAGCTCAGAAGAGGAATGGTCCGACGAATTAAGTGACGATTCTTATTATTCCGACAGTGACAGGTTTAGTATACAGCATGTCCCAACAATTCGGCGTATCACATGACTCAGCTATGTCATTTCAGCTCAGTCCCGGAATGGGAAGCGTCAGTCCACGACATAACCGGGGAACTCCTCTTCATCGACTGTCACCCTTTCGTCACCCAAAACATCGACACTACCAAGCCCAAAACACCCCTACAGCCCTTTTCCAAAGACCAACTCCGTCGCAGCACCCGAGGGAAATTTCTCCGACTCATCAGACGTCGCGAGAGTCAGAGACACAGTCGACGATACTCCAAAACACAAGATGTCGATTCCTCGACCAACAAAGTGAAATTCCACGATTCGCAAGAAGGGGAAGAGAAAGACGTCATTTTAAAACTAATTAACGACAGTAGTCACCGCAAACCCGAAATGGGACTACCGGAAAGTCTTCTCGGAATCAATGTTGGGACTCTTTCAGATGGCAACAGAGTCATGATTGCGGGTTTCCTCCCCGACAGTGAGGCAAAACACGAAAAAAACATAAAAATCGGCGATTGGCTGAAAAGTATTAATAACATTCCCGTGACCAATCAGAATTTGGATAGCATTCTTGACAAGTTCAGTGACAAACATGAAGTACTGTTGAAGTTGCAACGAGTTGCGGGGGTTGAAGTGACAAAAGACCCACCAATTAATGAACTGAATTGTCAATCGCGGTTTGTGAGAGAACTGGTGGGTTTTAATAAAGACGACGAGCAATTGTTGCTAGAGAAATTATCACAATATCCAATTGGAATCCTCTATTTAAATACAGATAAACTAACCGAGAGCAATCCTGAGTATGACGATATCATATATTCATACCCACAACCTTTTCAAAAGTCAATTTTATGCCAATCTAGAGGCATTTTCATAACATTGAATCATCTCATAAATGACGTGACAAGGACAAAACCCCAGTCTACATCATTTTTTCACAGGGATCAACTATGTCACGTGACTTACACTCAAGAGAATAATAAAATACTTCTGTTTTTGTTTCCTGGCAGTTGCGCCTCTGTAAAAGAATCACTTTTGATGAGCAATGAAATAAAACGAATGTTTTTATTTCTGTATCAATGTCTAGACCAGTGTTTCACAATCGAGGGTAACAGACTGCAGGTCAATCATTTTTTTGCTCGTCTTTTCACAAGACTTTTAAACGGCAAGAAATGGACTACTAGTGATTATATTATCGGAAACAAGACTTGTGTCGAGAACACTTGCCAATTTGAGGAGGTTCTTCCAGTCGCAGCCACTTTGCCCCTTCCTAACGAGGCTTACATGCAAGTCGATGATGCTTTAACCGAATTAGAGGCTAGTGATTATAGAGAATGGGTACTCAAATTAATTTAATTACTATTGTTTTTAATTAGTTTGAATTTAGAACGAAGAACCCCTTGATTGTCAACGACTTTTCACGATACTCGGCAGCGCCTTGTACCACTACGGCTATTTACTCATTTCCCACTTAATGTACGAAGACTTGATCGATGTTCATGTTTTTTGCCGGCAACAAGGTTTCTTCCACTTGTCCAAAACCGAACCGGTTAAGACTCTCCTCTTGTGGAAAGAGGTTTTTCCGCACTCTTGTAACCGAACCGGCAACACCAACGTCAAAATTCCGGTCGGAAAAAGATACTTACTGTTAGTGGGTAGTAGAAAAGTACGTCTTACTGTTATTGTTGGGGTACAGCTCATTGATTGTCCAAGTTTTAGGACCTCCTAGCTGTGATAATGGAAGCCGGCGGTTGCACCGAACCCGCCGAGGAGAATATGGGGCCCGATGCCTTCTACGTCGAAGAGGCTCAGGCGACTTTAGCCCACATTCAAGAATTGGGAATCCCGGAACTTGCCGATCGGTGGATTTCGACCAATCCCGGTCCTCAAGTAACGATCCCTGAAACGTGTACCAAACGAAAGTCGGATTTTTTGGACAGTTTGAGTAAATCAGTGTCGCAACATAAGGAAGGGAAAAAACCGGAGGTGACTTCGATTTTGAAACGGCGGAATTCGGATCAGAATGTCACGAATTCAAGCTCGTTTTTCCTGGATGACCATTCGGATTCGGGAAGTCAGGGGGAATCGAGGAGGAGTCGGTATGATTCAGATGATTCGGATGATTATGGGGTGGGGTTTGACATCTGGCTTTTGTTTTATTACTTGACTATTTTTTAGGATGGGAGCCAAATGAGTAATAGCAGTTTTGATATATCAGAGTTGAGACAAACGATTTTGTCGGAAACTGAGGATATACAACCAAGACAATTGACAGTCGGGAAAGACAATATTTTATTTCATTTTATTCAGTTTGATGCGACTGAAGGCGTTCTGATTGGTCCGCCTGAATGTCGGCTGCAATCGCAAACGATTAATGCGATTTTGGATTGTTTTAGAAATGCCTGTCACAAAATTCATTGTTTGTTTCAAAACACGTTAAGGTTTAAAGTATGCTTGAAGAAATGTTAAAACTTTAATTTAATTATTTTTTTATAGAATATGCCAGCGCAAGACATGGCCAAATCAGTAATGAATAAGAGTTTGATTGCGATAAAAGAACATGGCGTCATGTTTGAATGTCCTTTCTTAGATGATGCCGATAATAAGAATAAGAGTAAAATAAAGTACTGGGTTGTGGGAAGACTGTTTTATATGCCTCACCCAAGGGAGGTTTATGTCTGTTATCAGGATAATATTCCGCAAAATATTATTGAGTTGGCTTTTAAAATTGACTTAAGTACAATGAATTAAGTGCCCTTTAACTTAGAAGTGAGAAAAAATTTGAATTCTAAAGTCCGTCCTTAATAAAAAAGTGTATATTTTTTTAATAAAAATTATTTTGTAATGTAATAGCGTTATTTTATTGTTTTAGTTATCTTTTTATTTTGTTTAAAATGATTAACATAACTTTCCTACTTTTTTATTTTGTACTCAATGTTAAAGAGTGCTTTTATCAACTAATTTAAGTAGATAAAGTAGTCTTCTATCGTCTAGTGAAATAAAGTAATTTTTATCTACTGTTTATATTCAGGAAATTCTGATAAATGAGTACAAAATAAAACGACTTCGTCACTCGTAAACTCGTAACATTTTCACTGATATTATTTGGCAAAGTTGGGATGTTATGTGAATCACCCAATATATTTCAAATTTTGTCGTGTGGATTAGGCAACCAATATTACAGTGGACATAAAAGTATCTTAGATAACCTCAATCTTATTAAATAACCTAAAAACGAGAAAATGTCTGATATTGAAATAAAAACTCTAGAAACTGAAATAGCAGCTTTAGAAAAAAAACTAAACGAGAAGAAATCAAGGCTTCAAGAACTTAAATCAAAAGTCAGTATTTTATATTAAAAAAAAACACTGCCATGTGAATCATTTTAGCACATTTCTTGTCCTTACTCAAATGTTTTAACTTCAGAGGAGATTGTAAGGTACAGTCGTCAAATGATAATGCCCCAAATTTGTAAATCAGGCCAAAGAAATCTTAAAGAGGGTAAAATTTTAATTGTGGGGGCTGGGGGCTTAGGGTGTCCTGCTTCACTGTATCTCGCAGCTGCCGGAATTGGTATACTAAAGAGGAATTAAAATTACATATTAAAGTTTTTTTTAGGAGAAATTCATATTTTAGATTATGATGAAGTTGAGTTGTCCAATTTGCATCGACAGATTTTACATTATGAAACTAATATAGGGCTACCAAAAGTACAATCAGTCGCAGATAAATTAAAAAGGTTTGCTCACCCGCGTTTTATCAATTTTTAATCACTTATTCAAAAAATTTTAATTTATAAATAGTTTATAGGCAACCAATAACACAACCATTGGCAAATGTTGTGTTGCCTATATTAAATTAAGGTTTTGGATTAATTTTATTTGAAAGCGATTTGTTAATTCTAGCCTCAACAGTAACATCAAAATTGTCCCTTTACACATCCACGCCTCTAGCTCTATAACCGACTTGGTGCAAAAAAACAAATACGACGTTGTCTTAGATTGCACCGATAATGCCCCTACACGCTATCTACTCAACGATATTTGCGTTATTTACAACATTCCACTTGTCTCAGGCAGTGCCTTACAAATGGAAGGCCAATTAACAGTTTATCACTACCTGAATGGCCCTTGTTACCGTTGTCTTTTCCCCAAGCCACCACCGGCTCACACTGTCACAAATTGTGGCGACGGTGGTGTCCTGGGATCAGGTAAAAAAAATCACTAAATAATAAGTTTTTTCAATGTAAATTTTACAGTTTGTGGCGTAATCGGTGTTTTACAAGCTCTGGAAACCATAAAGATTCTCACACAAATGGACGGCGTTTTGTCAGGCCGATTGCTAATTTTTGACGGCTCGGAGACAACTTTTCGCAATGTGAAATTGCGACAAAGAGTTGCGACTTGCGAGGTTTGCGGCGATAATCCGAAAATAAGAGCGCCAGTTGATTATGAGCAGTTTTGCGGATCTAGAGCTCACGATAAGGTGGTTTCTTTTTTTTTAATTCAATAATAATTTGTATTTTCAGGTGATCAATATTAATATACTCGAAAGTGAGGAAAATGTGACTGTAGAGCAGCTCAAAGGGGTTTTAGACGAAAACAACAATGTCGTGATTGATGTTCGATCAGAGTTGGAGTTTGATATGTGTAGGTTGCCAAATACCGTAAATTTTCCATATTCGAGAATACGGGATAATAAGAGTTTGGATGAGTTGGAAGGGTTTATCAAAAGGGCAGCAGAAGGGAATAAAAAGGGTACTTATAGAAAATATTTGTTACGCTGTTTTTTTATTTTATTTTTTCAGTATATTTGTTATGTAGGCGAGGAAATGACTCTCAAAGAGCGACAAATTATCTCCGACAGAATTTCTCTAATAGTTTGGTGAAATTCTTGAATGTTAAAGGTGGCTTGCATGCCTATTCCAAGTCAATTGATCCATCATTCCCTGTTTATTAATTTTGAGTAAAGTTTTTAATGTCGATTTTTGTTTTTATTATCAAAAATCCTTGTTTATGTTTTTCGTTTAGTTGAAAATAAAAGATAGTTGATAAGATTATGTCATTGCATAATTTTCGTGACCTACAATTTCAATTGCTTGACTCATCCCTATTTTATGAGGAAATATAGTCAAAGTCTACTACCGTACTTCCAAATTCTATGACTAATCCTTACGTTCGATTTCCCTAAAAATTTACTCCTCTCTGAACCCTAATCTCGTTTGATGACCTTTGATCGTACCGTCCTATCTCGCGTATCCTTGGATTTTTACGATATTGAATCAGTACGTCTATAACTCACACAAGTGATGCACGATGGCAAGGGATTTGCGTATTGTGACCATTTCATCATGGGAAATCTTAAAGTTACATTTTTTTACTTTCATTTTTGGCATATGGATCATTTGCAAAATGTCAGCTAAGTGGATTTGGGACCCCAAATCGTTTTTTATCCACCAACAACGTGACAACCCACCGGCTTGTCTTGTCGACTCTTCTTTAGGCCAACACAAATACATCAAATTAAAGGTCAGTAAAGCGAATTATCAACTTAGCATAAAAGGTCATCGCGATTTATCACGGGCTTTTATTTTGGATTTTTCGTGTTACCTAACACCGAAATTCATTTCATTTCAAGATTTTTATTTCGATCTAATTAATTACTTTATCGAAAGCAGTGTAGCTTTCCACCAGACAATAATAATTATTATTGCCATTGATTTTTACAGTCTTATCAATAAATTCCAGGGTGTCAAGTTCCATTATGTGGAATCCGGCTCGAGCGATCTTCCATTGGTCCTCCTCTTGCACGGCTTTCCCGACTGTTGGGTCAGTTGGCGGCACCAAATTCCGACTCTATCCCAACATTTCCGTGTGGTGGCTTTGGACCTCAAAGGCTTCGGAGACTCGGATAAACCCTCATCCCGGAAAACGTACCGCATCGACATGATCCTGGAGGAACTCAGACAACTCATCATCTCATTCGGAGTGTCCAGTTGCATCGTCGTTGGCCACGACATTGGCGCCTTGCTCGGCTGGTGCCTCGCACATCAATTTCCGGAAGTCGTGGATAAACTAGTCGTGGTGTCCTGCCCCCACCCTAACATCTACAGGACGAATTTGCACACGTCCTGGAATTACCGCTGGTTGAATTTTGTCCAGCTTCCGTACTTCCCCGAAGTCGACGCTTTGAGGAACGACGTTAAAATCATCACAGAGTACCACCGGCATTTGCCGGCGAATGACACGTTTTTGGATGCTTACAAATACGCGTTTTGCCGGAAAGAGGACTGGACAGGGCCTTTGAATTACTTCCGGAATTTGTTATTTATCGAAATCGCGGAAAACACGAGGACTATCCAAGTACCAGTCGTGTTAGTCACCGGTGATCGAGACAAGTTTATCAAACTTGAAAGTATCGTAAAATCGACGGATTTCTGTGAGAAATTTTACGTGAAGATTGTCGATGGGGCTGGGCATTTTCCACACCAGGAAAAGTACCAACAGTTTAATGAGATTCTGTTGAAGTATTTGGTGACGAGGAATGTGCCAAATGGGTTGGAAAGGTCACCGTCGAAGGGAATAATGAATAGGATGATGGGGGCTGTTAGTAGTACTGTCAAGTATGGAAATTCGGTGCTGGACACTGTTCATAAAAAAACAAACGGGGTGGTAGGGAGTATACCGAGTATAGGGTTATTAAATTATTCAAATATTTATGAGAAGACTGATAGTTAGGACTAGGGGTGGACTAGCAGAGTTCCTGTGAATGTTAAATGGCATTAACATGAGGAACACTTTAATGTATTTGTCTTAGATTCGTCTGTCAGATTTGTGACTGGTGTAGACGAGATTTAAAACAAATTTCAACTCAAAAATTTTATAAGACTGAGACTTTGTGTAGTCTTCTTCTGGTAAAATCTTTACCAAACTTTCTTAATTTGATGTATTTTATTATACATTTATGAATCTTTCTTATACTCACTTTTTTTAATTAGTGCAGCAGAAAAAAAGAGTCAACACTTAATTTTTAGACAAACTTTTGCCTGATGATGATGAGTGATGAATAGTTTTTTTTGTATATTTAGGTAACATTTTGCTAGCGTATATTATTGTTTGAATGATTTAATTAGCTTTTATAAGAAAAATTCTATAAACGTACCTACCTATTTTATGTGATTCTGTTAATTGTTTGTTGTTCGTTTTTTATATACCTAAATTTTGTTATGTGTTAATAAATTTTATACTGATTTAAAGTTGTTTTAATTTTTATCTTGGAAAATTAATTCTAATTTTTA